CTTGTGGCCATTTGCTTGTGCTAGGAATGTGTGGTGACTTCGTGATCCACCCTGAGCATGCTTTGCTTTTCTTGACTGGTCTTGTGACCACTTCTTCTCCCCCACTTTGCCTATGGGGGTGTGTCAGAATGTTATACCGTATCGCCCCGGATATAACCGCAGGCCTATTAAAAGCGCATGCGCTTATATATGGAGCAATGCGCTTATGGCCGATCCTCAATTAGAAGCGCACCCCTTATAAAATCGTTACTTATTATAAGCGCACCCTTGCAGTGAAAAAAAAAAATATACTTGTTGAATATTTGTCATTATTGTTAGAGCTAAAGCAAGGCTAGCCTTCATTAGTTGTAATTTTGCACTAGCTAAAAGTTTCACATACAATAGGGTGACTATTCTCCTAGCCTAAACACCATAATCTTGCCTAGTCTAGCCTTTGGCCTCCTCTTCCTCCACGTCCGATTCAGGCTCCGTGGCGTTGTTGCCCCAGAACCTGTCTGCTTGGATGTCATCGTCTACCTCTACCTCGTGGCTCAACTGGCTTCTCTGGTGCGCCATCACCAGATGGTCTTCGCTCCAGTCAAGGGCATTGCCGATGCCGCACGTGAGGAAGAATTTCTTAATCAGGTCGGTGGGCACGGCCTTCCACGCCCGTGAAATCCACTTGAGCACCACCGCCGGGGGTGGTTTCTTGATGTTCCCTGCACCACATGAAAGGGAGTGGGGAACACATTAGTCCACAAGCAGGCAGACAAGCACACAAAGGGGAGACGGGAGGACATGTCGTCGCTCACCTGCAGGTGTCAGAATGTTCATGCCGTCCGCCTCAAACCAGGACTGGTACTGCTGGCGAACACTCGCCTTGAAGCTCCTACTCACCTACACATCGAGCGGCTGCACGTCTGCCGTGCATCCTGCCGGGATGACCGCCAGCACGATGTGTCAGAGGTCCACTGGTGATTCCCGATTGATCCTAGGGAAGGGTTACAGGCTCGTTGTCCTAGGGGGTTATGGGCGCACTGACCCGCTACTTAACAAGCCCTTTTATCCCAATGGTCTTGTGGTTGGGATTCTGACATGGTATCAGAGCGAAGGTCTTGGGTTCGAATCCCAGTGTGTGCACTTCGAGCATCCCAGTGCGGGGGGGTGTCAGAGGTCCACTGGTGATCGCCGATTGATCATAGGGAAGGGTTAAAGGCTCGTTTTCCTGGGGGGTTATGGGCGCACTGACCCGCTACTTAACAAGCCATTTTATCCTAATGGTCTAGTGGTTGGGATTCTGACACGATGTTGAGCGCCGCGAATCTCGCCTTGACTTCCTTGGTAAGGTGACCACGGTAGAAGTCCAGTACTAGAATGGGGCTCTGACTCTGCACGCCGAATTTCGGTTTCAGGAATGGCACCACGCCCTCATCGAGCCACTGGATGACGCCCGTGGCCTCCATCCATCCGTTCGCTTGGCAGCCGACCACGGCATCTGCACACAAGCAAGCGGTGGTTAATCCCTTTTTTGTTTCGAACGTCCAAAACACGCACAAGAACATGTGCTTACCGTTCCGGAAGTCACCCTTCGGCAGTGTCTTGCGCTTGAAAAACACCCACGGCTTCAACTTCTCGCCCGTCGCCGTGCAAGCCACCATGACGGTGACTCTTTCTTTCTGGTAACCACCGCTGTGGATGGGCACCGACTTCACGCCCGTCTGCTCCACGGTGGTAGTGGCCGGCATCTCCAACCAAAGAGGCGTCTGGTCGGCGTTGATTATGTATCGATTGTCAATCGCGTACTCGTTGCGTGCGTCGCGGACGAACTGCCAAAATTCTTTGCACTGCGTTGCCACATCTGCGCACGGGAAGGGAAGAACAGATAGGAAGAAGGATGAGTACCGCTACAAGATAAAGATATTCACACGGGAGCAAAAACTCTTAAACCATGTGAATTCCCTCGAGGTAAGCGGGAAACGAGGCACTTACGCTCCTGTGTTTTCTGCACCACCTTAGTTTTCATGCGCACGCTGAGGTTCCACTGCTTGCGGAACCGCTCCGACCACCGCTGACTCCCTTTCCATTTGACTTCCGGGAACAGCACCTTCATCACCTCGCGTGACCAATCTTGGAGCCGGCTGACTGAAACTGCGACACCGTGGCATCGCCAGTCGAGGAGTTGAGCGTACTCCTTTAACTCCATGGGTCTGTACGAAGAAGACCTCCCGCGCCCATGAAGTCGAGACCGTGCGGCGTGTGAAGCCTTGAGCTCCTCCGCTTGGGTTTTCCACTCCGTCAGGCATTTGCGGTGTATGCCGGACTCCCGCGCGACCTCGCTTATCGATGCTGCCAGCTCCAGCCGCACGAGCCACCTGAGTTTCTCCCGGGAGGTGTAGGACTGCCGTTTATGTTGATACGGCTTGTGCCTGGGAGAGGGGGGGCGGGCATCTCGGTTTTGGGAGGAGGGGTGGGGTCGTTTTTTGTTAATCGGTGGATACGTCGGTATCGGCATCTTCTCGCATGGTGCGTCGCGCCACCATGACTCCACACCATCGTCGTCCTCGGCAGTTGCACCACGATCTGGGAACACGTCCTCCTCGGCGCCCACTTCACCGTCGCCGACACCGTCGCCGTCGCTGCTGTTTTGTTTATCGGCAGCCACGTTATCGTCGGCGCCCACAGCCGACTCGTCCCACGTGCAGGCTTCAGGCTGTCCCCACCGTGGTGCAGGCGCCGGAGCCTGGATGAACACATCGGGGGCCTTGGTTGTGTCCGGTTCAGACAACCACACGTCGAAAGTGGCTGGTAAATATAGCTGGAGCACGGGCCGTAGGTGAGCACTGGCACCGATATCAGGCGGATTCGGAGGAGCGGGAGGAGCGGGAGGAGCAGGAGGAGCAGGAGGTGCAGGAGGAGCAGGGGGCGCAGGGGGTTCAGGTGGCACTGGAGGCGCTGCTGGCTCACGGGTATACCACCCGTCGTCGATAAGTTGCCATGGGCGAGCTGGTTTTTTCTTGAAGGGGAAGTGCGTCCCGCTGAATTCTGCCATGGCTTCGCCAGCCAGGCGGCCTAGACTGGAATCTGAATGAAAAAAAAAAAGAGAGAAAGAGGGTGGACAAATGGGCAACGAAGGGGACCCCGTAAGGTTGGCGCCTCGGGGTCCTTGTCAATGACAGACGGGAAACCCCTGCCTACCCCCGTAGAGGACCCTGCGTGGCAGCATAAACGCTGCGATGGCAGGGAATCTTCCCCACCCTTCGAGAGGGTTCGGAAGAAATGCACATGCCACGCAGGGCATGTGGCTGTGATTGGGCCGCACGGCAACATCCCTATCACTGCTGTCACGTTCGATGGTTCTAGACAAAACTGTGTGGTGGGAAACCGAACCGCTGCTGTTTTTGCATGAAAACCATGCACTATCCCACGTGTTGCATGGTCGGTTTAATTCGCCTGATTGCGGGCTTCAATTTGGTATGTTTTAAAGTGATATTTTTTTTCCTATTACAGGCGCATGCGCTTATAAAAATGACTCAATTAGAAGCGCACCCTCCTAAAAAGCACTGTTTTATTATAAGCGCACCTGCACTTCTATCCAGGGTAATACGGTAATGCTTACATTATGTAGGCTGTAGTGGGGTAGCCCATAAGGGGTATAGCCCAATTAGGGTTAGTACTTGTACCAACTTTCTATTCAATGCATTCATTCTCGATCAGTATTCTGACACTTGATCCGCGAGTGTAGGAGGGTGCCAGGAAATTAAGAAAGGGCATTTCCAATAATAAATTACATAAGGCCGACACCCACAAGGACATAAATACGGTAATGGTTACACAGCACATTCACCAAATCCCAACATAGCCCCCTTTCAGGCCATAAGGAAGAGGGCCTCCAGCAACCAAAAGCGAGGTCCCACTGAAGTCTTGCGAGTGTGTATACACAGCATGCTTTATATCTTGACCTGCAAAGTGCTCAGCATAGACTTGGTCTTTAACCTGCACAGACAGTATTATAAGCTGTTAGGTGACCTTCGTCATAATCAAATCAACATGCCTCCTACGTTGGATTGTATCTTACCACATGTCCTGTGCCTGTGGAGTATGATATGGTGTCCATGTGGTTCTCCCCAGTACAGCCGCTGTCATTTATTTCGCCTGAGGGAAAGGGAGAACGAAACTGGTGAGCTACCCATACTGGCACAGGACCATCAACCATTTCCACAAGGACGTGACTTACGAATTCGTATATACTTCTGCGTTCTTGTATCAAGAAACGAAAGCCGGCCCTTGCCTCCTCCACATGTCACAACGTTATCTTGGAAGCTCAAAGACCGCACACCTGAAATAAGGAGTCAGAATATGAAAAACGTGCCAAATTTCAGCAATGCAGAACTAATACGTACCCCATCCTTCATCGGCGGATGCTATTGACTTCACCACGTGTCCACACCGCATGTCAATAAATGTTATAAACCGTTGAGACCCCACAGCCACTAATGGAGATTTAACAGCCATGCAAACCAGCTCCTTTGGATCCGGGCATCTTATTGATGACACCTGCACAGGAGCACAATACAAAGACAATGCATTTTGATAACTGCAGGTAAGCACATGGAAGAAAAGCAACACAAGGAACACGAGAGAAGATAGTATTTACCACTAGCATCTCATGTGGATCCCACAGCTTGCACGTGCCATCCTGACTCAAAGTTGTTACTGTCTGGCAACAGGCAGAACATTCAGGTTAGCTCATGTCCCCAGAATCAGAGTGCTGCAGTGTCGTCCAGACCGTTCAACCCACTTCCGTGTCCAAGCAGTACTTGAGATCTCTGACTTTGTCATCATGATCCGTACGGGTGACTATAGGTGACTGGTTCAAAAATTCGTCCGAACAAATCGACCATAACTTAACAGTGGAATCTCGGGAGCCTGCATAAGAGAATACAGTTAAATAGGTAATATTTACGTCTAAAAGTGCTCACTTCGAGAAACAAAGCTAATGTATATGACTGATAGTTGCAAACCTGTAATGAGGTGACTGTCGCGAACCCAAGCAGCAGCAAACATCCAGTTCTCGTGACTCTGCACAATAAATTGGAGCCGCCAAGTTATGACATGCCAAAATGCTGACAACAGATATTCCGCCAGATGAACCAACCTGAAGAATAGCGACAGGGTCAAACGAAGGCAACTTAAAGATTGCGACATCGTCTGGGTTTGAGCCTCCGGTCGCCAAGAGTGTGCGTGACGGACTGACAGCTCTGAAACGATATGTATAGAAAATTTATTATTCGCAATTACCAGCGATAAATGCAGGATGAACAAAAACAGGAGTATGGACCCACATGGAATGAATGCCACAGTTATCCTGGCGGTCACGATGCCTCGGTTGTGGTGAATCTGGAAGAGGAATGTTCACATGCTTTCCAGTGTCTGTGTCCCATCGAATGAGTTTGTTGTCTTTAGTCCCAATAACGAATGTGGAATGGTCGACCCAAGCGGAAGCGAAGACTTTGTCATAATGCTTGATCTCATCCAGCTCTCTTTCTGAATACTGGAGAGGAATACTTGGAGCAGCAGATGCGACGCACCGTCGCTTCAAGCTCCTGGAAAGGCGAACGAAAATACGTAAATGTTTTGAACATGACGCCACTACAACGAGCTAAGGAAATGAGACGGACCCAGAGACGTTGAAACACTCGCGTTTGCGAGTAAATGTCCACATCGCCTGGTCGACAACAACAAGAATGTCGGATGATTTTCCGTTGATAAAGCTCTCGCTCCTCCCTTGCTCGTTGGGAGAAATGAACGAGCATTTGTTCCTAGAAGCAGGTTGAAGCTAAAGCTTTATGAAGTCCAACTGAAAATGAAGAAATGGAGAGACTCTGACAGCTTGGGATGTCGTCAAAAGACAGATTGGCTTGATCAAGAAAGCCCACAGCAAAACACAGAACAGCAGTACAGTACACCGCAAGCATCCGAAAATAGTCGATGAAGTCGATGAAGTACAGAATGCACAAATTTTATCGGATTATTTGTATTTGTTCGGCATACACAGAACTTTATTTGTTTATATTTAGACAGATTGTTTGTTTGGAACAAAAACACAAATTACTTGACCCAGCAAGCTCCCTCCATCCACCTTCATGTGGTTTGCGACTTGAGGAGAGTTTGTCGGGAGAGGCGGATACGCGTAACAAAGCTGTTCAGATCTGGATCTTCACCATTGGTCTCGATCTACTTTCGCGAAGCCACTTCTAGGCTCAGATTCCTAGTAGAGTGAGTTGTCGCCATGCCTGCTCGTCAAGATGTGGCTGTCGCGGCGGCAGGTGCAGCAGCGGTTGCCGCTGGAGGTGCTGCAGCAGGCGGACAGCGCCAGCAGCAGCAGCAACAGAACCCGATCATGTCGATGGTTCGCATGGCTATGTTTTGGTACATGATCAGCAATTTCTTTTTCAAGAAACCACCCAAGGATCCAGCCATGGTTTCTCGGAACCTTTTCCGGAAAGGAGAGGATTTGGTGAGTGTCGCAGTTCCTCAGAGATGTGCGGTAGATCGATACTTTCGCCTCGTTGTCAGGTGTCTCATGGAGTAATCGGCGGAGTAATCGTCAGTGTATCCATGTTAATCCAGATCCGTAGAATGTGTCCGCACTTTTGCTCTAGATCGACGGCCCATAGACGCTCTTCTTGCTTGAATGTGTGGGTGACGGGTAGTTTATGGGTGTCGAATTTGTTCGAGGGTAGCTGTTTCGCTCTCAGGAGTTGTATGTGCTGCTCTTGTGTGCTCTTGCTGAGTCTGCGTCTGCCAGTCCTCCGTGCGTCGGGGGTGAGTGTGCTCTTGGCACGGACGTCCTTGAGGACAGGGAGGAGGACTTTGAGTGTCTTGCAGCTGCTGTACCTCGTTTCGCTTCCATGCTGCTTGCCCCTGAGGGAGACCCGAATGCACCAGACATCCTGACCCCGCGCTCTTACGCAGAGGCGATTACGGGTCCTTACTCCTCTCAGTGGTAGGCAGCCATGGATGCCGAGATGGCATCCTGGAAGTCCACAGGCACCTACGTCGACGAGGTTCCCCCACCTGGGGCGAACAAAGTCGATGGCATGTGGATCTTCAGGGTGAAGCGACTGCCAGGTTCTCCGCTTGCCTTCAAGGCGCGTTACGTTGCTCGAGGCTTCAGTCAGTGACAGGGAGTTGACTACTTCCAGACCTTCTCCCCCACCCCGAAGATGACTACTCTTCGGGTGTTACTGCACGTTGCTGCTCAGCGTGACTACGAGTTGCACTCTCTGGACTTCAGCACAACTTTCCTGCATGGCAGCCTGCACGAGATCTGGCTGCGCCGCCCACCTGGTTTCACTAAGTCTTTTCCTACAGGTACTCAGTGGAGTCTTCGGCGGCCAGTCTACAGTCTCCGCCAGGCGCCTCGCGAGTGGCACGACACACTGAGGACAACACTTGCGGCTCTTGGGTTTGCTCCTGCTACTGCTGACCCGTCGCTGTTTCTATGCACCGACACCTCGCTGCCGCCGTTCTACGTCCTCGTCTACATCGACGACCTCATCTTTGTCACTGCTGACACTGAGGCACTGACCCTTGTGAAGTCGGAGTTGCAGAAGAGACACACATGCACTGACCTGGGTGAACTGCACAGCTATCTTGGCTTGCAGATCTACCGGGACCGAGCTCTGCGCACCATTACCCTGACTCATTCACACATGGTGCACCAGGTCCTTCAGCGCTTCGGCTTTCAGTTCTCCTCGCCACTGCCCACTCCTCTGTCTACCAGCCACTCGCTCTCAGCTCCACCTTCAGACGAGTCCGTAGAGCCGAGTGGTCCGTACTCAGAGCTTGTGGGTTGCCTCATGTACCTGATGACGTGCACTCGACCTGACCTCGCGTACCCTCTCAGCCTCCTGGCTCGCTACGTGGCTCCCGGCAGGCACCGAAAGGTGCACTGGGATGCTGCGAAGAGGGTACTGCGTTACTTGTGCAGTACGTCGGGCATGGGGCTCGTGCTTGGAGGACGGGGTCCAGTTGTCCTCACCGGTCACGCAGACGCTTCTTGGGTTGACGACTCAGCTACGTAGCGGTCGTCACAGGGTTACACATTTAGCCTTGGCTCTGGCTCTGTTTCCTGGCAGTCTACCCGCTCGTCTTCGGTTCTCAGCTCCAGTTGTGAGGCTGAGATCTACGCTGGGGCCATGGCTGCACAGGAGCTACGCTGGCTCACCTACCTGCTGAATGATTTGGGAGAGCAGCCTCGTTCGCCTCCAGTTCTGTACGTAGACAACAAGGCCATGATTGCCTTGTGTCAGGAGCACAGACTGGAGCACCGAACAAAGCACATCGGTCTGCAATACTTTCTTGTTCGAGAGTTGCAGCAGCGTGGCCAGCTTCGTCTTGCGTACGTGGCCACTAGGGCCAACATTGCTGATATATTCACCAAGTCACTTCCGCCTGGTGATCATCAGCGCTTCTTTACTGTGTTAGGCCTTGTGCCTACTTTGCCTTACTTGCTTACTGCTTGACTCTGCTTGTACTATGATCAATGTATTGTTTGTTCTCTTTATATCACTCTTCATGTGAACTGGCCTTGTGGCCCTTTGCTTGTGCTCGGACTGCGTGGTGACTTTGTGATCCACACTGAGCTTGCTTTGCTTTTCTTGACTGGTCTTGTGACCACTTGTACTCCCCCACTTTGCCTATGGGGGTGTGTCTGAACATTATAGCTTTTACATTTGTGTAGGCTATAGTGGGGTAGCCCATAAGGGGTACAACCCAATTAGGGTTAGTACTTGTACCCAACTGTTTCATATTACATCCATTCTGGTTCATTCTCTTGACAGGTGGGATCCCCAAGGCGCCCACCAAGCTGCTTCACGATAGCCGATTCTATTGCCTCCGCGACCATGGTGGGACTTCGGAAGTGTGCTCGCGACCAGTCTGCTTCTTCGTGTGCTTGAAGACCGCGGTCACAATGGGGGCGAAGTTGCATGCCCGTTCTTCAGGCATGCCAACATACTGCACGGCCACGTATCCTGCATCCGTGGCTTCCCAATTGTCAACCCACAGCAGGTCTCCCACACCATTGCGATCGCACACGCGACCGCACCGGTATACTCAACCCGTCAGTCACCGTCGAGCCCCAGATCTTCGTCTGCGACTTCTTTACCGAACACCACTGCCCAAGCAATCGCGTTGGGGGGGTTGGTTGTGGGCTCGGCGAGCTCGCGATAGCCGGCGAACATGCGTCGGTACCTGCATCAATGGAAAGTACGTGCCAAATGTTAGTCGCGGAAACCGTTTAACCACATGGAAACAACGGGATGGTGACCGCAGCCATGTACGAGCGTACCTGTCCACATTGCCGCACAGGTTGCGAAGGTGCATGGTGATCAAGAGCCCGGTGTGCAGCTCACTAGCCACATGGAGGTCCTCCGCCCACTCTCTGTACTGCTGCGGCGTCAGCTTAACCCCGGGGTCCACCTTCTTGTCGTACGCCATGCATGCGATTGCGGTAAGATACTGCACCTCGGTGTGGGAGTGATGTCCCAGCCACCGACGTCTCCCACCTAGCCACGGTCCGTCAACCTTGCCCCCTCCACCCCTTTGCGGATCGCGGGTCCAGGCTGTCCATTCGCCATCGCGACAAATACCGGGAGCAACTTTTCGACACGACCGCGCTGGGCTGCGATCGTATTGGTGTTGGTGGTGGTGGTGGCTGCGGGCTTGACAATGGTGTTAGCCGGGGGAGCGTCATCAATCTTACCTTTGCCCTTACCCGCACCCACCGTCGCGGGTACATGCAGTGGTTTTGCAACTGCATCTACTTTGGTGTTTGAGTGCGATGTTGAGCCTGGTGGATTAGGTTGCGCAGAACGCAGATCAACCGCGCCCCCCTTGCTCTTCAGCAGGTCTGTGACACTCGGCTCGCGCACTGAGGGCACGGGACCTTTCTGACTCTTTGCCCCCCAGTGGTTATCAGCCTTCGTCACACGCCCCTCTTCCCATTCTCTGCGTCCCCTCCCTCGGCCAACTCATTCCCTTGCAGTCGTTCTGTATCTGTGCGCGACACGGCACCAATTCAAAGGAGGGTGATGATCGTGTTAAGTGCGTTGGTGACCCCGCTTGTTGTGATTGCATGTTCTGCAGTAGAGGCAACCGCGGAAGATATGTTGTCCATCTTCCCGGCAACTTCGTCAGCCAGTTTCTTCTGGGCTGCTTCCATCGAATCGATGACAACCCCCTTCAGCTGTCCCATAGTCTCCTCGACGTGATCCAGCGTACGTTTCTGAACGTCCCGAAAATCGCGGTTGTCAGCCCTGTCTTCCGCGGGCGCCTTCGCTACCTTCTCGAATAGCGCCGCTTTGTTTTGCGAGTGTCGATGTACCTTCTCCACCGCAGTTACAAGTTCCTCGTAACTTAACGAGATCACCGCTGCATCACCGCCTGCCTTTGCGGACAGGCGAGCCTTGAGCTTGCTGATTCGTTGCGCCTGTGTCTTCACTTGATCGTCCAGGCGAAGAATCTCCATGACCAGCTTCTCCGGCTTCAACGCGATTAGTGTGTCATACGTTCTTTTTACCACGACCTGGCTCTTGCCCCCAACCTCACCCGATGGGGCTGCACTCCCAACACAAAGGGTCAAAGTAGCAGTGAGACGTCAAATACTCTTCCCGGAAGTAGCCCTTGCGACACCCGCACCGCGACCTCCTCCTCCCCCTCCTCCTCCTCCTCCTCCTCCTCCTCCTCCTCCTCCTCCTCCTCCTCCCCACCCCCCCCTCCTCCTCCTCCTCCTCCTCCTCCTCCTCCTCCTCCTCCTCCTCCTCCTCCTCCAACTCCTGGTCTGACGCCTCCAACACCAAATCACCCTCCTGGTTGTCCTTCGCAGCTTCTTGGTGAACCTCGGCCGACCCGTCCTCGACCGCTGCTTTACCGCGACCCTGATCACTTGCCACCCCCGAAGACGCTGCCTTACCACGACCCTGACCACCTGCCACCCCCGAAGACTTCTCGTTCCGTCCATTGTCTCTGTCGCGGTCTGAGCTTGACTCTTTGTCTTGGTCACTTGGTTCGTTGTGGTATGAACCCTCGTTTTCCTTTGACTCTTCTTGAGATCCACCGCGTTCGCGAGCGCTTCTCCAGTAGTAAGCACGAGGGCCTCGTGACCAGATACATGAGAACCCACTGCATGCTTCTGCGATTTCCCACCTTCAGTAGCATGAGCATCCCCACCGTGAGTGGGCGTCAACCCAACACGCGACATCTCCACACTCGACTTGAACGTGAGCTCATCTGCAGCCCGTTTGGCCTCCTTCCGCAATATCGTCAGCATCCTGGGGGTTGGTTTGAGTGTGCGCGGCCCAGGGTCCAGGTTTGCAACCGAGTCGAGGTCGTTGACAATTCTGTCAAACGCATACAAGCAGGCGAGGTGGCCGCATTGGGCTTTCCATGAAGCCGTATCCTAGAAATATATAAAAAAAAACGAAGGGGTGATTGTGTTATAGCTCGTGTTGTTGAATGCACAGACGTACACGATATCATATCGAATGTGACTGAAGCAAAAGCTTACCAGGTCCACAAGACGAGTAAGATCGCCCAGCTGCCGCGACCGAACACACTGAATGGACTGGCGCGAATGCCGCGCCAATGCAGCCCTGGAACCACCTGGAACAATCATACAAAATGCAACGCGGTTGAACATCTAAAGTACGGGTGCATGTAAAGCAGATAGGCAACCGACAGAATTACATCTAAAACGAGAACCAACTTTCTTGACAACCTTCTCCATCATGGACAGGTGTTCAGCCCCACCAGTGGGGTGACAGACGCGTATGAAAGGCGTCCTTCAATTAGCTCCAATTTCAAGCCCCAGATGGTCAGGACGCAACTTATCGCTGCATGCCTATGCGTTAGCCCGTTCCTTAGCCCGTGCCTTAGCCCGCTCCTTAGCCCGCGCCTTAGCCCGCTCCTTAGCCCGCGCCTTGGCCTGCTCCTTAGCCCGTGCTGTAGCCCGTTCCTTAGCATATGCCTTAGTCCGCTCCTTCTCCCGTGCCCTAGCCCGCTCCTTAGCCCGTGCCTTAGCCCGCTCCTAAGCCCGAGCCTTAGCCCGGCCCGTAGCCCGCTCTGTAGCCCTTGCCGCAGCCCGCCCCTTAGCCCTCACCTTCTCATCGTGATGCGTGCTCGTCACCGCGCCTGCTAATTTCTGTCCCTGCACCCGCTCCATGCCATGTGTCGCCTTTCTCCGTCCTATTGAAAACGTCTCCTCTCCACCTCTTCAAGCACATATGTTTACTATGACGCCTTTCCTGCTTCAGCTCACCAAACTCTTCTATGTCCCCTTCCCCCACATCCGCCCTTCTTCCCCTACCCCCTCCTCCTCCCCCCCCCTCCCCCCCCCCACCTTCTCCCTCCCACCCTTTCTGGTGCGCGCTTAGCTCCTTGCATCTATTGTGAAAGTAACGAACGAGAATGGATGAACTAGCAAAGAGTTGGGTACAAGTACTAACCCTAATTGGGTAGTACCCCTTATGGGCTACCCCACTATAGCCTACAAAAATGTGAAAGCTATAATTTTCTGACACACCCCCATAGGCAAAGTGGGGGAGAACAAGTGGTCACAAGACCAGTCAGGAAAGCAAAGCAAGCTCAGGGTGGATCACAAAGTCACCACGCAGTTCGAGCACAAGCAAAGGGCCGCAAGGCCAGTTCAAATGCAGAGTGATATGAAGAGAACAAACAATACAGTGATCATACCCTAGCAAGTGCAAGCATGCAGGTGTATATATAGATCACAGTACAAGCAGAGTCAAGCAGTAAGCAAGTGAGGCAAGGTAGGCACAAGGCCTAACACAGTAACAAAGCGCTGATGATCACCAGGCGGAAGTGCCTTGGTGAATATATCAGCAGTGTTGGCCCGAGTGGCCACGTACGCAAGACGAAGCTGGCCACGCTGCTGCAACTCTCAAGCAAGGAAGTATCGCAGAGTGATGTGCTTCGTTCTGTGCTCCAGTCTGTGCTCCTGACACAAGGCAATCATGGCCTTGTTGTCTACGTACAGAACTGGAGGCGAACGAGGCTGCTCTCCCAAATCATTCAGCAGGTAGGTGAGCCAGCGTAGCTCTTGAGCAGCCATGGCCCCAGCGTAGATCTCAGCCTCACAACTGGAGCTGAGAACCGAAGACGAGCGGGTAGACCTGTCAGAGGTCCACTGGTGATCCCCGATTGATCCTAGGGAAGGGTTACAGGCATGTTGGCCTGGGGGGTTATGGGCGCACTTACCCGCTACTTAAAAAGCCCTTTTATCCCAACGGTCTAGTGGTTGGGATTCTGACATGGTATCAGAGCGAAGGTCTCGGGTTCGAATCCCAGTGTGTGCACTTCGGGCATCCCAGTGCGGGGGGGTGTCAGAGGTCCACTGGTGATCCCCGATTGATCCTAGGGAAGGGTTACAGGCATGTTGGCCTGGGGTGTTATGGGCGCACTTACCCGCTACTTAAAAAGCCCTTTTATCCCAATGGTCTAGTGGTTGGGATTCTGACAAGACCGCCATGAGACAGAGCCAGAGCCAAGGTTGAAGGTGTAACCCTGTGACGACCGCTGCGTAGCTGAGTCGTCAACCCAGGAAGCGTCTGCGTGACCGGTGAGGACAACTGGACCCCGTCCTCCAAGCATGAGCCCCATGCCTGACGTACTGCACAAGTAACGCAGTACCCTCTTCGCAGCATCCCAGTGCACCTTTCGGTGTCTGCCGAGAGCCACGTAGCGAGCCAGGAGGCTGAGAGGGTACGCGAGGTCGGGTCGAGTGCACGTCATCAGGTACATGAGGCAACCCACAAGCTCTGGGTACGGACCACTCGGCTCTACGGACTCGTCCGAAGATGGAGCTGAGAGCGAGTGGCTGGTAGAAAGAGGAGTGGGCTGTGGTGAGGAGAACTGGAAGCCGAAGCGCTGAAGGACCTGGTGCACCATGTGTGACTAAGTCAGGGTAATGGTGCGCCGAGCTCTGTCCCGGGTGATCTGCAAGCCAAGATAGCTGCGCAGTTCACCCAGGTTAGTGCAGGTGTGTCTCTTCTGCAGCTCCGACTTCACAAGAGTCAGTGCCTCAGTGTCAGCAGTGGCAAAGACAAGGTCGTCGACGTAGACAAGGACGTAGAACGGCGGCAGCGAGGTGTCGATGCGTAGAAACAGCGACGGGTCAGCAGTAGCAAGAGCAAACCCAAGAGCCGCAAGTGTAGTCCTCAGTGTGTCGTGCCACTCGCGAGGCGCCTGACGGAGACCGTAGACTGGCCGCCGGAGACTCCACTGAGTACCTGCAGGAAAAGACTCAGTGAAACCAAGTAGGCGGCGCAACCAGATCTCCTCGTTCAGGCTGCCCTGCAGAAACGCTGTGCTGAAGTCCAGAGAGTGCAACTCGTAGTCACGCTGAGCAGCGACGTGCAGCAACACCCGAAGAGTAGTCATCTTCGAGGTGGGGGAGAAGGTCTAGAAGTAGTCAACTCCCTATCGCTGACTGAAGCCTCTAGCAACGTAACGCGCCTTGAAGGCAGGCGGAGAACCTGGCGGCCACTTCACCCTGAAGATCCACATGCCATCGACTATGTTCGCCCCAAGTGGGGGAACCTCGTCAACGTAGGTGCCTGTGGTCTTCCAGGATGCCATCTCGGCATCCATGGCTGCCTGCCACTGAGAGGAGTAAGGACCCGTAATCGCCTCTGCGTAAGAGCGCGGGGTCGGGATGTTTGGTGCATCCGGGTCTCCCTCAGGGGCAAGCAGCATGGAAGCGAAACGAGGTACAGCAGCTGCAAGACACTCAAAGTCCTCCTGCCTGTCCTCAAGGACGTCCGTGCCAAGAGCACACTCACCCCCGACGGACGGAGGACTGGCAGACGCAGACTCAGCAACAAGAGCAGTGGCAGCAGCAAAGTCAAGCAGCTCAGCAACGAGAGCAGACGCAGCAGCACACTCAAAAGAAGGGTCAGTGACAGCAGCGGCGAGGAGACGAGAGACAGTGGGACTGGCAGCACGAGCGCGGTTTGACGCAGGGTCAGGGACCTCAGGAAGAGAGGACTCAGGAGGAGCAGGCAGAGGAACACGTAGAGGAACAGAGGAAGGACGAAGGGTCATAGCGTGCGTGCCTGGGATAGGAGGAGGACGTGAACAAGGAACGCGACGAGCAGTGCAAACAGGCGAGACAGGACGAGATGCAGGCTCACGACGCTCGGTAAGACCGCCGGACTGCTCAGTGTACGGAGAAGGAGCAGGCAGTGGAGAAGTTGGATGTAACGGCGGCTGCGACTGGTCAGGCGGGGGACACAGGAGGGGAGGAGTAAGGGCAGCAGAAGGCGGGGTACCAAGAATCCGCTGCAGCAAGGGAACGAAGTACGGTCGCGGCTGCACAGCGCCACCAGGGTCAACAGCTCCAGCTCCTCCAGCTCCAGCACCTCCAACATCAGGGCCTCCAACCCTAGCGCCTCCTGCGCCAGGGCCACCAACTCCAGCTCCTCTAGCTCCAGCGCCACTAGCGCAAGTAGCACCAGACTCCGTAAGGTCTCCAGCTCCAGCACCCTCAACACCACCAGTCCCGGCGGCTCCAGTATCCCGGGTACGAGCACCTCCAGATACAGTGGTCGCAGCACCTCCAGTAACACCAGCTCCAGCAGCAACTCCAGTACCGCCAGCTCCAGCAGGGCCAGCACCTCCAGCGCCAGTAGCTCCACTCCGAAGGCGCGTACGCCGAACAAACCACTCACGCAACTGCTGCGGAGACAGGCTCGGCGAAACACCAGCAGAAGCTCCAGACGAAGCAGCACCCTGAGGCTCCGCACCTCCAGACTCCGCACCCTCCGACGCAGCACCCCCAGGCTCAACACCCTCAGGCTCAGCACCCCCAGGATCACCACCCCCACTCGCAACACCCCCAGGCTCAGCAACCCCAGTCGCAACACCCCCAGGCTCAGCACCCCCAGTCTCAGCACCCTCAGACTCCGCACCCCCAAGCTCCGCACCCCCAGACGCAGCACCCCCAGACGCAGCACCTCGAGCAGCACCTGAGTCGACAGCTACCTGAACAGGGCCAGGACCAGGGAGAGGGTCTACCTGAGACACACCTGAGGGAGCAGGACCCTGGGGTGGGAGGGGGTCTACCGGAGGGGGACCGGGAGCAAGGAAGAGCGGCGGGGGCGGGGGAGGGGCAGAGCGGTAGGGGAAGAGACGGTAAAAGGGAACCGACTCGTCAAACGTGACGTCCTGAGAAGGAAAGACACGGCGCGAGGTGGGGTGGTAAAACTGCCAGCCAGGCGCGTCGGGGACAAAGCCAAGGAAGACGCAGGGGAT